TTTTTTTAGGAAACACTTCCCGAGTTCTTGGCTGGACTAAGGAAAATCCGTGAAGATCCTACTTATTTTGAAAATTTGGATAAACGAAAGGAACTACATGGATTAGAAGACATTGAGTTTGAAATAGACAAGTCTTTTCTCGAAAACAAATGTAAGTGCTCTCCATGATTTTTCAGTTTTTTTTTCTAACATTCTGTTTTAGCTGCAGATACAACCGTTGATTCGCATGCAGAGGTGATCACTGGATCAGAAAAGGAAAAAGACTCTGAAGCTGTTGGAAATAACTTCAAACGAGAAGAATCGTCGAGTACGGTAGCAAATGATGCAGAAGATACTGCGAAATTAGCTAAAGACGCAGAAAACGAGAACGCATCTGGTCATCAAGAAGGGTCAATTTCAAATACAAAAGGGAACTTTGCTACTGAAACTCATGGTGAACATGAACACCCTTCCACCGCGAAAGAGGACGACAATGCTGATAATACCGAAGGCCATGAAGAACCAATCGGTCGTAATAAAGCGGTTGAAAGTACACACCAAGAAGAGCAGGAGGCCCAGATTCCTGCTCCACCAACAAGGTCAACAGAAGATCCGTCTGAGGGACTTGAGCCCCCAGTGCCACCAACTGCGGCTTCTTTGAAAGGAGCTGCGACGAGAGCATGGAAAATGAAGTTGACGGAGAAAGATCTATTGGAAAAGGTTGGGTTTTGAAATAAGGGTAGAATGTACAAATTTTTTGAGCAATAATATGGACTTCTGCAGTTAGCAATACTTTTGAATCACATCCTATTTGTTCTGATGCAAGTTTTGTGAAGTTTGTTGCACTTGCTGGGGGAAGGGATCCAAAAAGAAACTTTACCCGGGTTATCTCTTAACACAGGAATAATCAGAAAACGATACATAACAGCAATAGGAAACAAAAATAGAAAGAGCCACAAAGTGAGCCGGCTCGGATGGTCATTGGTTCCTCTCTGCGCATGGCTTCCTCCAGCTGGCTCCTTCTCTTCTTGTGAGGGTACGCGCGGTGTTATCGAAGTTCTATGTGTAAGAAAAGAGCATGAAAAATGGTATTTTCATCATATACCATCATATACAGAATGTTAGGAATTAGTAAAGGGCAAAAATGTAAGATAGGGTTGATTACCGACTAACTATTTATAAACAAATATTATAACAGGGGGGGGG